TCGCCAGAAGGTAGTACCAGGAGAGAAGCCCGACGTTTGTTATTTGTTTGTACATCATGGTTTTCATAGGCCTCACAACTCAGAAATATTATTAAGATATTTTCTTCCTATCCTTTCAAAAAAGATAACCTCTACCATGGGCTCAGAAATCAGACTGCATGGACTAACCTGGGCTATGATACATAACAGAGTTGTGGATCTTCACAACTTAACTGCTCTGCACCAGAACTCCTATCTGAAAAACGGACACCATACCTACATCTCAGGTGTAGGTCAAAAGAAAAACTTATAGCTCAACACTGGGTTTGAAACTGTTAACCATTATCTCTACAGTGTTAATAACAACATCACCATCATCGATGTTGTTATTAATCTAAGTGGCATGCAGACTGAAGGTGCCTAGTTAAGTTTACCAAAACATTTTTCGGAAGTTTGCTAAATGAACAAAGAAGAAAGCAAGCAAAAACAGTAGCAACAACCAAACCACAATTAAGCAGCACCTCCGAAATGCCTAAATTAGAACTGAGGCATGTTCCTCCAGAGCTCAGGATGGGCAGCTAAGGATCTTGAGGGGGCTGCTACTGCTCAGGATACACGCTAACAAAACACCCAGTGCTGTCTGTCTTTGTAATGTAGAGACCCCCTGAACTCGGGTCACCTTCCACCCCACTCAGTGCGTCCTCTGGAAAGCAGCACAGCAGATGTGACAAGCCTGGCAAACACACGCAGGGACAGGCTCACACCCCTCTTCCAGCCACAGGTCACAGCACTAGCACGCTGGATGAGTCAAAGACAGGCGGGCAATGCATTTCAGGGCATTCGGCTGGTGTGTGAAGGGATTTAGAAAGGATCATGGCTGCAAGAGAAAAAGAAATACCAGGATCTTTTCCACAGATAGACTTTCGTGCACATGAACAGCATGTGTTCTCCATGTAAGTGGATCTTTTCCTTTTTCCCACTCCACAGTTCTGCTAACCCAATCTTACAAACAAAAAGTGAATCTGAAGAGTTGTAATGACAGCAACACTGATCTATAATGAAATCTGACACTAAAAAGCCTAGGTCAACAACATTTTTAAAAAAATAAAGGAAATATATGCTGGAAAACAAGAAACTACAACTTCATTTTGTTTCAAAATTCAAGGTTCTTAATTCCTAGCCATGCACATACCGACCATCTCAAAACAGGCATCATAATCAGATAAATAACTGTTATGCAAATTTTTTTAAAGAGAAATCTTCTACCTGAAAATTTTCACCTCAATGCGTGGCTTTAAATGCTGTACAAATACAACCATGAAAAATAACACACAAAAGAAAGCCCAGAAGGACATTCAGAGAGGTGGATACCCTCAGTCCACACAGGGCCTACCACAGCACTTTATTTTTAAAGTTTCTGTTAGTGTTCTGTGACGGTGCTGAAGCCACTGCCATCCCCAGCATGACTGCTGGGCCACACGTAAGCATAAAGGAACATCTCCTTCCAATAGATGGAACAACGACAACAAGCAGAACTGTCACTCCTTGATTGTATTTCCCCCTCCCAGAGGTTCTGTTCTTACACCTTAATTTCCCTTCCCTCCTTTCATTTTCTCTGTTCACACATTTGAAATGTTTAACTTCTACGGCACCTTTCACACGCTACTTCAGTTGATTCACCCCTAGAACAAGTACTGGCTGAAAGTTGAGGGCTGAAACACTACGTGACCGTTCGGTACTTCTGCACAGTAGTTACCACACTGCTGTTTCTCAGTGGGCGTAAGACTGGCTGTAAATCATTTTCCCTTCCTTCGCCTGTTGTGTTTTTTCTCCTTAAAGCTGGGCATGGTGTTATGCTTGTTTTCAGAACTAGCATTTGCGTCTCAAAATTTGTTACCTTTCCTTCCTTTCTTTTCCTACCTCCCCTTGTTTAGCCTCTGGTTCTTTCACCGGCTCACTCTCACTTATGCTACAGGGCCCACCGGGCTGTCCCACACCAGGACCCCTCCAGGGCAAATGCTCAGGCCTGGAGCAGCCACTCCTCCCGTGCTCTCCTCTGCGGCTCCTTGAAGACAGAAATTATGTCCGGCCTGTTCCATAGCATGATGCCTGCAGCCCTGTAGAAAACCAGCTTCTAAGTCACACAAATAGAAAATCATGTGATTACAGAAATGTGCAGGAAGCCGTAATTAAGGATGGCTCTGAGAAGATTCTCTCCCTAGCTGGACAAGTTCAGGGTCATCTAAATTTTTCTATGAAGCTACCTGAAGGAAAACAATATCTCCTTAAAATACTGGCTTCCTTCTACCCGACTCCACTACAAAATGGCCTGAACAATGCAGTCCATCTCCCTACATTTTAGTGTAAAATAGATTATATTAGTGTTAAAAATATCACAATTCCATTCTTTCATTATGAAAATAAAGAGAAGCTGGCTGCAATAGGAGTTTCACATCAGCAATCTCTACCTGAAGCTTGCTTCACTATCACACTATACTATTTTAATATGAAATATTATAAATCTAGACATAGAAATAGAAAATAGCAACCACACATAAACCCATTATTCAATTTAACTGAGTCATAACATTTTGTCGTATTTGACTTTATATCTTTTTGAAAAAATAAAACATAAAAATACATACAGCCTGGGTTCCAGTCCGACCCTAACATTATTCCCCATCTCTTAGAAAAGGCATTATCCTGAAGTTGACATGCTCTTTTTAAAAATATACATATATAAAGAACATAACGGGGATATTTAAAGGCTTCAAATATCATATGAATGATGTCTGTCACAATATGGCAGCAAAAGCATTCTAAAATACCTCACTAAAACAAAGCAGCAGGGATTTAAAAAAATCACAACAATCCTTTTCAATACACATTTGGTTACATGTGTAAGCAGGGAGAATCTGGAGATATGGAAATTACAGATTACACAAGAGCAAGGTGCTAGCTAGGGAATGGGGACCACGGTTTCTAGCTAAGGCCAAGACTTTGTATTACACGCTATTTCTTTATTGGTCAGCACTTATAAATGTTAGGTTTTAAAAATTATTTCCCATATGAAGAAAAGTGGTTTTCCTCAGCTCTTTCCTGGTTATTAAGAATAAGTACCTTTTCATAGATTCAGTCACCATTCTGGATGTATAACGTGTCACCACATTGGACCATTTCTCGCTTAGGTTGCTTTCAGCTTGCTCATTAGAAAGAATTCTTTATAAATACTGAATGCTTATTTTCTAGACCTCCATGCTCCTTTCAGAATGGCAAAAATTATAATGACTGACAAAACGAAGTGGTGCTGAAATGTAGAGTAATTGGAACTTTCATACACTGCTGGTAGGAACACAAAATAGTACAACCACTTCAGAAAAGTTTATTAATTTCTTGGTAAATTAAACAAAATGACCTAGTCATTTCACTTCTGCAGATTTTCCCAAGAGAAGTAAAAACATTTGTTCCCAAAAGGATTCAGACACGGATGTTCATGGGAGCTCTACTTGTAACAACAAAAACAATGAAAGCAATCTCGATGTCTACCAGTGAGTGAATGGATAGGCTGTGGGGTGGAATATTGCTTAACAATAAAAAAAAGAGCTACTGATAAACACACAGCATGGATGAATCTCACAATAATTATGCTAAGTAAAACCGCACAGGCAAAAGAGCGCATACTATAAGATTCCATAACAAGTAGGTAGTTGGTTGCCTGAATGAGACAGAGTAAAGGCAGGAAGCAGCCTTTGGACATAATGAATGTATACATTATCTTGATTCTTAGGGTGGTTTCAAAGGTGTGTACATTATGGCAAACTTGGAGGACTGAAAATATAAGTTTATTGCACATCAATTTATCAGACTGCATACTTCAAATACGCATAGTTTACTTAATGTCAGTTGTACCTCAATTAAACTGTTTTTTTAATCTCATAAGGGAATCAGAGAAAATCCTAACCATGCTAGACTTCTATCTTCCAAGTATTTCTCCTCTTCCTCCCTTCCTTCCTTCTTTTCTCCCTTCTCTCTTCCTTCCTTCCTTCCCTCCTTCCCTCTTTTCTTCCCTTGGTACTGGGGATGGAACTCAGGCCCTGCACAGACTAGACAAGTGCTCTACCACTGAGCTACACTTCCAGTCCCTGGGCATTTCTTAAGTGTAGGCCACAATTCAGAAAATCCTTTAACCTTATGTTTGCATCTTTCTAAAAGCAAACAAAATAAGTTAAATTAGGGCTGGGGAGATGGCTTAGTGGTACAGCACCTGCCTGGCAAGCACAAGGTCCTGAGTTCGATTCCTGGAACCAAAAAAAGAGTTAAGTTAGAAATAGTTGGAGCAGAAGGGGACATGACCACAAAAATATTTTCTTGGAGGAATAATTAAAGACAAGTAACTAAAGTGAGAATCTAGATCATAACAATATTGTTCTTCCTACAGGAAATTCACTGTTAATTTTTTTTTTGTTGATAGTAGTAATCAGCATGTCAATATATATAGTACTCTACTGGGCTCATTCATAAGGTTAAGAAAATAGCCCATCAACAAGTCTGATCTAAAAAAAAGAAAATCTCAAAAAAAAAAAAAAAAAAAAAATTGGGGCTGGGAATATAGCTCAGTGGCACAAGCCCCTGTCTGGCAAGTGCAAGGTCCTGAGTTCGATCCCTGGTGCCTCAAAAAAAAAAAAAAAAAACTCAACAAGTCTGATCTGATGATAATATAACAATATAATAACATGAATCAGCTTGTATACACTTTCTCCCCCATAGTAATAGTGATCCTAATCCATCATCATTCTTATCAAAGTTGTTATCATTTTTCTTCCTCTAGCTAATTCCATTTTTATATCACTCTGTTCCTCAAATAAAATGAACCAAGAAATCTATGGGCTCTATTCCACAAAGAACTGAATCATTAAGCTATACCTTAGATGAAAATAATCTAGATAAACTAATCTCAATAACTTAAAAAATAATAAATGCTGGACATCTAAGTCTCCAGAGAAAGGTATCTGAGTACCTACCATCTCCAAAAAGATGAGCCACAAGTCTGGTAAGTGTTTGCTTAAGGTCAAATTCTACAAGCTTCATGGCCTCCATACTGTGTGTCTCTTGTTTATGTGCAGAGCGAGGACTGCGTTCAAAGAGCTGCAAGCTTTCTCCATCCTTTACACCAGCAAATAACTGTAAATCAAGAGTAAAAATAAATACACAAAATAGTCCTTGGGATAGTATATATCAAACAACACAGAAATTCCACAAAAAGCAAATTTTACTCTAAGATGTATGGGAATAAGTATTATGTCTTACGGTCAACAAACATACTGGAATTAACACTGACAATATGAACAAAGCAAAGCTCTCTGCTACCATGTGGAGCATCTCTAGGGAATTAGGGTACCATGCTGATCTTTGCTGATCTCTGTTTTATACTTACATGAACTCATAATCACTTCCTAATAAGAGAAAACATCCTCAATTCTAGTAGAAATACCAGTAAATTAAGCTTTCACATCTCAAAGGATATCTGTCCACCTCACAGTCCTTGCGGTGTAACCTGACACGAAGTAGGGAAGCGCAGTCTAGGAAGTAAATCGTACAAAGTCCACGAAGACAGAAAGCATGCTGGAATCTGCTAGCCTGCTACTTCCGAAGCCCAGGATGGGCCTGACACAGATTTCTAGCATTTACTACCCATAAAAAGTTAGGCAGGTGACATGGCAGCTAAGCCTCAGGTAATGATGTGTAAAATGGAATGACACATTTTTATGATAAAATAATATATGGAAAATATAGAGCACTTGACACAGGGAAGTGGTAAAAAAACTTTCCTCATTATTATCGTCATCATTATGAACCAGAGCTGTTATTAGTCATAAACTGCTGTAGCAATGGGTAAAGCAGCCCCATTTGGGGCAACACAGATCTTCAGCTACTGGGAGGCTGAGTCAAGTCTCCTGCTAGGAGACCCCAAGGAGAACTGAGCAAATGAATCTATCATTCTTTCTATCTGAAGTTCCATTAAATAAAAAAATAAAGAGTTCTAATAAAAGAATGACCCACTTGCCATTTCTAGTAGTGCTGGGCTGGACAAACCTCTGACAAATACTACTAAACTCTGTTTTAAATTGTTAAAAGCAATGAAGAAGTAACAAAACAGAAAGTGAGCGTGAAACACTACACGGGACCATGAAGCCAGAGATGCCAGGCACAAAGCCCCCGAGGTATCAGCCCTGCCAACACATCAACTGAAAACTGAAAATGGGTTGTGACAATTTACCACAGCAATGAGTGGGGCAAAAGGGAAAGTGGCCAACTTGGAGTGTCGGGTAAACAGTCCTAAAGGGCCCGTTTCCATGACAAGGATGAGCATGAACATGAACCCACTCTGTGTAGACCTGCAGTCAAGTGTCACATCTCCCAGGCAAGTCAGAGAGCCTCAGGCTGGGAAAATGGACACAGGCAATCCCAGACAGCTCCCCTAAATGCCCAGCAAAATCAAACAAGTCTCAAACAAGACCTAGGACCTCCTGTCCTAGGTCTCAGATAATTCTTATGTGAGCTGAAAACAGTGACAACTGCCAAGGTCAGTGTCGTCCAAGACATCCTACAAAAGTAATTTAAGACTGTACGTAAAAAGCAGGCAGGCAGACAACATTTCAAGGAGAGAGCTTTACACTCCCACTCCAAACGTTTGAGGTAAAGGGGCAAACTGAGAAAATGTGAAGGAAAGAGGCAGGAGGGAAATGAGGGAGACATTAAGATTGCTCTAAAATCACCACCAAAAGAGTAAAACCTTTTACTCTTTACCCCAAATGTAAAAATTGTAAAACTGTGCCAGTAGACCAGCACAAGAACTAGAGAAAAGGAATGAAAGAATACGCGGAGTTCAAAGTGACAGCCTTACCAGGCATGACTGCAGTGCAAGAGACAGGGGTAGAAAATAGTGAAAGACAACCTTTGCAACTAGGTGGGTAAAAGTAAAAATACTCAGGATTGTACAAGATAAAACACACCTACGAAAACATTAACAGACTTACCTGAGCCCCCCACACACAAACCCCACAGGATCTATGCTCTGCTGCACTAACAAAAGAGGGCACCAGGAAAGTAGGAAATTGACTGCAACTAAATATCAATAAAAATAAAGAAGAAAACTCAATAAAAGTATACAGGATTAACCAGGCTCAGAAAGTCAATTCAAAATGGCTCCTCTGATGAAAATCCAGCCCCTGCCCATCTCTCCCCAAAAAAGCAAAGGAAAATTTTAAAATAATATTTGAAAATTAAATGAAATACTTTCAAGTAAGCATGCAGAGATATAAATAATTTCTTGAGTTAGAAACTCAAAATTTAGAGCAAATATGCATGAAAAAAAAAAGAGAGCCGATTGAACTTGAGGAAAAAAAATTAAAAGAAATAAAACCTCAAAATTAAAGTTTAAATTACAAAGTATGCAAGAGATCAAGGAAAATTTGATAAAAGGCATTGAAGAGAAGCAAAAAAGTAGAACAGTGAAATGGAAGAAGAAAGAGCAGGAGAAGAAAGGGAGAGGAAGCATAGAAAGGGAAGGAAGAGGAAAGGAGAGAAAGTAGCAGAAAGGGAAGATAAGCAGAGAGGAAATAACACTTTTATAACTAGATTACCCGAAAAAGAAAAACAAAATAAGGGACTGGAACTAATGGTCACCAAATAAAATGGGTACCTGAAAAAAGAACCTCAAAGGACCAAATACACGACATATTCTAATAAAATTATTAAACTTCAAAGATGAAGAGAAAAAACTCCTCAGGGCCTCTAGGCAAAAAGACCAAAAAACTTAGAAGGGCAAAGTAATTAGATTAGCATAAGATTCTTCAAAAGCAGCTTACAAAACAAAGGCAAAAATGCAGTAGACTTTAAAACAACTCAGTTTAGAAAAGTGTAGATCAAGAATGCATACCCATCAATGCTACCCTGAAACTAACTACTCAATCTACAGAAAGCCTTAAACACACACAAACTCAGAGAATGTCACGTTAACAAACTCTTTCTGCAAAATTTACAAGATTTTACAAGATTTGCAGAATTTGCAAGATCTTTGTCCAAGAAACAAGTAACTGGAAAAATTTCAGCAAAAACAAAACAAAACAAGCAAAGAAAAAGAAGAGTGCAGTAACCCAAGAAAACTATAGATTTGACTAAAATAAAGCTTGGAGACTAATAAATGCTACATGCTCTGACAAAATAGAAATTATGTAACTAAAAATAAGAAAAGAAAATACATTCATTGATTATAGTAATAGATAATACTACTAATATTAGTAATAGATAATAGATAAAGAATATCTTTAAGACAAATTCTAAATAGTAAAAAGTCATGTTAGAAAACAGTGGGATAAGTCTATTTAAAAGACATAAATATATAAGCAATCATTAAAGCCATAATGTAACTAACCTTTCTAAATAACAATAAAAACTTAATATCTGAGTGAAACAATACTCATCTCATAAAAAATACAAGTTTTATAACATATAACCACAAAATACTATGACAAAGTTGAGACCAAACATATTAGACAAATTAATAAATAAATCAAATCAATAAATGTCAATGGGCTTCAATTTACCACTTAGAAGAAAAATTACATTCAATTGATCACAAAGCACGACCTAACTATATGCTGTATTTAAGCTAAAAGTGTTAAACAAAAGGAATGTTTTAAAAATAGAATTGACAGAGTAGAATAGGCAAGTAAAAAGAAAGCATAGAAATTTTGAAATCAAAGTAGAATTTTTTAAGGGGCTGGGGATTTAGCTCAGTGGCACAGCACCTGCCTGGCAAGCGAGTTCGATTCCTGGTACCGGAAAAAAACCAAAAACCAAAAACCAAAAAAAAAAAAAAAAAAGCAGAATTTTTAAAAAGGCACTAAATGAAACACTCTTCCACCTGCAAACAGAAAAGGAAAAGGAAAAAAATTTTCAAGTACTATAGACCACAAAGAGATAATACCCCTAACTCGCAAGGAACTTTTGTAAGTTGACAAAGAGTCAAAAACTGAAAAAGAAAGGGAAAATGTAAGAACACATAATACACACAAACCCTGAGATATGAAAAAGATTCTTAATACACAAAAACATGTTCAGATTTAGAAAAAAGCAAATCAAAACACTGATACATTATTTCTACTCTATTTCATTAGCAAATATTAAAAACCTAGACAACATGTTCTTTTGGTGAGATTGGAGAAAATGTACTTTTACATATTGTTGGTGGATACACAAACTTGTAGAGCTCTTTCAGAGGCAGATTTGGCAATATCCAACAAAACTACATTTGTGTTCATATCCTGACCCAGTCTTCCCATTTCCAGCTGAAGGTATTCCTCTGAGAGTAACATGAGATTTTTGCATTACTTTTTCAAACTGCAAAATATTAGAAATGAAGAAATGTCTTACTTTGCAGAAATGTGGAATAAACAACATTTTATCTGTGTACAGAGCATTGTGCAGATATACAAAATAAGGAAACATTGTGCATTCTATATACAGAAGAAGAATAAGGAAGATTTCTTTAAACAGACATGGAGTGATTTGCAAGATAATATGTTTCAGGGATAAAAGCAAAGTGCAAGAAAGCATATGTTATATGCAACCTTTCAGATAAGAAATAAAGGAAAATAATAAAATAAACATCAATCTTCTCATTTGTGCAAAACAAAAACAAACTGTAGAATAACTCAAAAGTTAAAGAAATTACCTATGAGGTAGGTGGAAACGGGATGAAAGGAATAGGTGAAGGACCACACAATACAGAAAAAGGCAGGGGAGCATTCGTGACAATTCTTTCAATGTATCTTTTTATATAGTTCTGACTTTGGGAACCATGTTAATATTTTATTCACTCAAAATATTAAAAATAAGCCAAGCACTGAGGCACATGCCTGTAATCCTAGCACTCTGGGAGTCTGAGGCAGAAGGACTGTAAGTTCAAGTCTCACCTGAGCAACTTAGTGAGATCCTGTCTCAAAATAAAAAATAAAAAGAGCTGAGATATAGCTCAACGTGAAGGTCCTGGGTTCAGTCTTCAGTACCACTGAATGAATGATTGAATGAATAATTGAATGAATGATTAATGAATGACTGAATGACTGAATAAATGAATGAATGAATGATTGAATGAATAATTGAATGAATGATTAATG